CTCATGGCCATAATGCAAATTTGTAAAATAAATCGAGGTACGGTAAAAGGTGTGGTATAATAAACTATTCTGAGAATAAATTATTGCTAAATAATAACATTTTTTTAATGTTATATAAGGAAAATACTGTACATGTTTCAAACAAACATTTCGCATGACATAAGTAACAAAATCAAATATAATATGAACAAGGCTAAAATAGGCTTAATGCCTATTTTATTATTACTTAAGTTACCTACATGAATTAAAAAGTCCTGAACTCTGTAGTTTTCTTAGTGTAACGGAATAGGTACAAATTAATGTAGAATATATCAAATATCTATAAGTAGACAACTGCAAACAATAACTAAATTGACTATGTTTTAACATTGTTTATGTTTTAATTATCAACATATTATTTTAGTGAAAATTGTACAAACAAAAAAATAAAAAGAAAGTTTATAAAGTAACTTCCTGACGTGTGGCCACCCTACCGGATGATTTTTTGACAAATGATGATGTTCACGCGTTATTGGGACTACATCCCTGCGAGATGAACAAATGCACTTTTCTACAGACCACACCGTAGCATAAATATATCTAAATTGCGTTTTTGACATTTTTCTGTATTCTTATATGATTTATATTGATAGCTCCAGAATGGTTCACAGAAAGAGTGACTATCGTTGAGCTATCGAAACGAGATTTTATGTACGAGTAAGTAAATCACGTAAGATTTTTAAAGTGAGTTCTTCTCAGGTAGAGAATGCAGAAGGAAGTAAGTCTAGGGAATGGAATAAAATGTATTCGTCAAACCTATAGAAATTAGCTTCAAGCTGAAATCTCAGTAATATAATTATCGGGGAAGGTTGAAAAGGCTTAATCATTTTTTTTACATTTAATGACAAACTTTCGTGTCAAAAACTATCATTACGTCATCTAGGAACAGCACGTACATTAAGACAAGGTAAAATAATCTAATTAATCAAGCTTTTTACAATATATTTTAAAGTTACTGTGTACTACCCAAGCTTCACCGATCGTATTATATTCCAAAACAGTGCAAGTACGATGTGGAGCAACAAAGTCATCGACATATAGAATTTGAGTATGGCATAAATTTGAAATGGCGAACGTTAGCAATCCGGAAAATGAGAAACTGTTTGTTCCTCGGCAGTGATAGTCTAACCCAATAACTATGAATACCAAGGTTTCAGACACAATATACCATTATTAATCATACAAAAATATTGAACTACTAAACGCATGAGATACATGCAATGTACTTGTAGTTATATGTTATCAAAATACAAATAAAAAGTTATAGTCGGTTATTGAGAGGGTAATATCTTTCCCTACGTCGGAATTCTAAAAATTAAAAATACTATAATTCGTTTCTTTTTTTGTTCCAAATATTTGGTAACTGACATTTTTGAAAATGAAAACATCAAACATATAGCAATAATTTGGACGCACGTGCTGTTTTCATTTTTTAAAAGTATCCAAAGTCTCCAGTTTGTATCATTAAAGATCAAGACTGAAGTGGTGCGTTCTGGTTACGCACAGTCGCAAACGAGATGCGGAGACGTAGCGCGCCCGCGTCCGGACGCCGCCGTCAACTGTCACATGCAATTACGGCCGCCATGACACTTTCGCGCGCTTGCGTTTGTAAATACGATCTTTGGTGGAAAGGAATCGTAACATTTGTGTTTTTATTTTGGATGCGGAAATGTAAAGACAAAGTCTTTAAACAAACCAAACATGAAATCCACCACAATACTGGCTTCAAAGATTCTTGGTGTGTTCAGCAAGGCGAGATAGTACTTAACGTCGGCTCGACTCGTAAACCTTTATAAGGCGTAAATCGTAAAGCGGCACCGTATGGAGTACTCTTCTCATCTCTGGGCGGAAATCCCTCGCACCAGCTACTTCCATTTGATCATATTCAACGTAGAGCGGCTCGGGGTATCGACGATCCAGCTCTTTCCGATCGGCTTTGACTCTGCGTAGAGATATTGGATCATTATGCATCTTCTACAGCATTTCATCGGAGTGTGCCGAGGAATTGGTTCGATGGATCCCGTCCGCTAAATTTAATCATCATAAATCGCGCCAAAACCAGAAATTCCATCCACACAACCTCGATGTCCAGCTTTTCCCAGCAGCGCGATTTTTAAGGCATTTTCTGACTTGCACTCTGTGGAACTAGCTGTTGAAAGAACGGTATGGCCTGGGAAAGTTCAAGAAGAGAACATATTTTTTCCTGAAACGAACCCACTTGTAAGCCCGCCGATGTTGCAGATGTTCATATGCGGCGGTGATTACTTTCGATCAGCTGAGTATCCTGTCCGTTTGCCCCCTTTTAACATAAAAAAACGACACGACCTTCATCTCGTACAGAGAAAAATAAGAATATTCCCGATTTCTCCGCAATAAAATATCCCGATTATATCAATACATAACGTCATTAATGTAATGATACCACAATATAAAATTCACATATGACATAAAAAGTTTAAGGCCCTTTAATATATTTCTTCATTATCTTACTGCTATAGTTATGACGTTCATTTGAGTTTTATGTACTCTACGAAAATTTTATTAAATTGAATCCTAAAAATATGATTGAATTTTATATGCAATAAAAGTTTATTGCTAAACAACCACGTTGCAAGGCGCAAGGGGCATTCGACGCGCGCCGGCGTTTTTCTTGATTCTACGCTAATTCGAAGCGACACGTCTCGGTTCTATTCCCGGCTTGGCACAGGCCGTGCTAGTGTCGAAAAGACGGTTATTTCGAATATTCATGTTGTTGGATAAATTAAAACCACGATACCATTTAAGTCTTCCATTTTAGCGAATCATGGAAGTTTGAAGTGTTGATTGAGCTATTTCTACACGAGTTTAGTACTTTAGTAGTATTTTAAAATTCTGATATGGAAAATTTATTACGTTTATAGAAAAACAAGTAGTAGTAGTAGTACATAATGATATTATTTGATATTGGAACTATAATTTTGTTACACTTAAAAATCGATTAGTCAGAATTAAGTTAAATTCACTAAGCTACAATTAAACGTATACAACTTTTTAGACAAATGTATAAAACCTATTGGTTTCTCCATAATTATGATAACAGCGTCATATTTCGATATAATCCGGGTCTCATCTTTTTTAACCCATACGATTTATGAATAAGACAGTCAAATACAGCGTATTACAAAAATCATTGTTCGATGGTAACCACTTACCATCAGGTGAAACTTTGCTTTTCTACAAGTTTGCCCATTCTTTTAAAAATACAGAATATTTCATAACGTTCTCTATTGAAATAAGCACATGGAGTCTGATGCTAATTCCAAACGTCGCCTCTATCGATACGGAATATAATCACAATTGACGTCCCGCCACATAAAACAGTTCGCTAACTATGCCCGCTATTAATTTTACCAACTCCTTGCTGAGAGAAAACTACATGATAAATATTCTATATCGATTAATAGAAACTACATCAGACTATGATAGATATTACTTACATCAGACTCCTAACCGATAATTATAACGATGAACACATATAAAAAAGTTTTAAACGATAAAGAACCAACTTCAAAAAACTCTATGAGGAGTAAAAAGTTTTAAGTAATACCAAATCTAATATAATCAAATCTTGAAAATCTAACCTCTATAGCCTAACCTACCTAATTTTTAACAAAATTTATAATATGTAATAATTCCTACAAAATATTCGATATTTTTATCTTTAAGTATATCATATTTTTATTTTTATGTCGATTCTTAGTCTTTTTTTTTTTTTTTTTTTTTTTTTAAGATTCTTAGTCTTGTATTATTATCATCTATTCAAAAATAATGGTCGTTTACTTATTGTGTCAGAAATATTGTATGTAAATCGAGTAATATATAGCCATTTCTTAAAAAAAATTTTCCTGCCTGACCTACTCGAATTTACTCTTAGTAAAACAAAAATACGGATTTTTAGCGATTAATTTTGTTTTGAATTCCAAAAGTTTCGAACGCGTTTACGAAACAAACAAAAAATCTAAGGTTAGTTTTATTTAACTTAACTATTTCTTAAATGTTCGACCTTAATACGGAAAGACCAATAACTAAAAGTTAAAAAAAAGAATTGTCGATAAGTATGCTTCTTAAAACATGTAGCTTATTAATTTCTTGAAATGAAAAGTATTTTTCATAAATATAGCAATGGAAATAAATTATTGCTGATCACTTACTCTAAAGAGTTTAAAAAAAATTCTGTACTTACCCTTATCGTTTGCATGAAGAAATCTCCGTCAAATGTTAGCCAGAAGACACTTCTTTAAAATTAACCTTTCAAAATCAGTTATCCGAACCGTTAATGTTAATTTAAGAAATACGCGTTGATGTGTCAATTATTGTTCCTCTCCGAATTGTTTCGCGGTAAAATTCTTTTCTTTTTTATAGCGCGGGCAAAGGCAGAGCCACGCCTTTCCGCGTCCGAAATAGTGTCGAATGAGCAACGCACGAAACACCCATCCGAAGTGATTATTTAAGAAAACAGTCTAAGAAACAGAGGCGTTAAAGTTTCTAATCCAGAAGCAAGGTGGTGATTTAACTATATTTACAAATTTCAAGCCTACATCGATGAGATTAGAGGCGACATTCGTGTTTGAATTTCACTAATGGGTGTGTTCGCGAGGTGTCCAAAGACCAGCTCTTCGGAAGCTCAACGCACATGTTGCTCCCGGCATCACATAACGCCGGAGCCAGATCGGTGTATAGACGCCATTAGTTCGCGCATTAGCATGAGTTAGTCGAATTATTCAATTAAGTAATTCAATAAGGTCGCGGATTAATATAAATTATTCGTCGCAATCGAAGCGTCGCTCTGACCGCTGACTTTTATTTAAATCGAACGTGACTAGATACTTCTGAAATTGAACAAATCTTAATTTATATACTCAATTAGTTTACCAGCGGATCCATTCGTAGTGACAAGTGGGTGCGGATTTTTGATCAGTGGAATGGAACAAAGCAAAGGTGAGTAGAATGTTCGTTGTAAGCTTCAAGTTCACTTCACACTTCACAAGCTGAAGAGTTGGAGAAGGTTGTATGTGTTTTGCATCATCTTTTACCGTCCATTCATCATCTGTTCAATATCTAAGTATGAGATTTGTTTACGAACGTAGCTAAAAAATAAAGTGTAGAACAGTTTTGATTTTCGTTTGACATTATACATTTTATATAGTACACAGTTAATTATAACTTATTTGTTTCATGGAAACATATTGGCATAATTAATGCAATGCAAGGTTTACAATTCAGACATTTGAAAAATACCGCTATATATATATGTACTCATGCTAGACTATAAAGTAAGTAGGTTAGTAGAAATTTCAATTTGCATTCTTTGTAAACGTATAAATTAATTAGACGCCTTACAACAAAAGAGGTGTGACAAGAGCTAATTTATTTAATATAATATTTAAAAGTTGTCAACTTGTCCATGTTTTACCATAAAAATATGTTTTCGTTTCGACAATTCTTTTTAGGGTTCTATACCTTAAAAGGTAAAAAAGGAACCCTTATAAGATCACCGATCCGTCTGTCCGTCTGTCACCGATTTTCTCAGGAATGTTAAGTTTACTAGGTCCATCCGTACTACCTAGCAAATTTATACCATCTACTGAGTTCATACTGAGTTCTGGAGTCCCTATTAGGTATATAAAAATCAAGGTCCTGAGTTAACACGATAAAAGGATATAGACAAATTTAGATATTCGCGAAAACTTGTAAGTACTGAAATGTAAATTAATTTTCAAGTTTTTTATTTGGGCATTGACAATAGTTTTGGGTCGAAAACCTATATGATAGTTCCGCATGACCGAGAATCAATTTGGCAAAAAGCAAGGCCTTACAGCACAAATAAAGAACAATTTAAAAAAAATGTAGAAAATTAAATGGCGCCCCCATACATACTTAGTTGACACCAAGTAAGATAGTCCTCTGAGTGAGGCTAGCTGAATGTGCACCAACTTCAAATAAGGTAAATAATTAAAGTTGTGCTATTGTGTGAAATAGAATAAAAGAAAATATTTATTCCGATATTATGCTCGTGTGCGCAGAACATTTTACAGTAAAGACTAAAGTGATCGTTACACTATGCGCTTTCCAAATAGGCAATGGTACGGAACCCCGTCGTGCGGGAGTCCGACTCGCACTTGGCTGGTGTTTTAATAAAGTCAACACTAATACTAAAAATAAAGATTTTCTCTTTCTCAATTGGTACTATTATTATCTTATATTTGTTACCTCAAAACTCCCATTTATAAACTTGAAATAGAAAGCAAGGAAGAAAATATTTTTGCTTTTGAGGTATTTCTATTTCATTAGCTATGGAACTTGGATTCAAAGACATAACTGGGAACTCTTCGAAAATCGAATAGGAAATGTATAATGAGTGGGATATTGAAGTTGGTTTTGTGTTTTGTTGATAAAAATGTAATTAAATTTTATTCTATGTGAAAAATTGCCAAAAGACGGTTCACCTGATGGTAAGTGAATACCGCCACCCATGGACATCTGTTACACCCAAGGGTTACAGATACGTTGACAACCTTTTGAAAATTGGGCTCCGGCTACCTCACTCACCAGACGAAACGCGAAAGTATTTGTGATACTTCCACTTTACGCTGGTCTTCTGTGAGGCCGTGATACTCACCCGGACGAGCCTGCCCATTCGTGCAACAGCCGAGGCTGCTGCGTGGCCCTAACACCGTAGCATACGTAAGGACTCCCATAGATTGTTTTTCCGAAATTTAAGATACTCTCAGTCATCCTGATCAACTTATATTTATAACCTAAAGAGAAGATGATGATAATGCAAAAAATAAGAATATGAATTCTAAATTGATTTCAAAAATATTCTGAGTACATATCGCACGATAGATTTTAAATAAGTTGGAAATGAAGATTCTTAAACCATAAAAATAACAGTTTCTTTAAAAAAAATACATTAACTATGCTTTTTAAAGAAAATAATGATTCATTATGGTCAAGACCTTATCTACAATTAATTACCTCAAACATGTAGATAATTTTTGATTTACATCAAATTATAAAGTATATTGCTAATATAAGTTTTTTTTTAATTATAACTACAAAGATCTTTATTGATCTTAATATAAGTTGTAATAAACAGTTATTAAGTTGATTACCATTATAATACAATAAGATAACTCCGTACTAAACAGGTTTTTCATTTAATTAATGACCGTAAATGATGTCTAATAAAAATAGAGTAGTACACATACACAATACTTGAATTCTAAATTGGATTATTTTTAGACACATTTACAATAGTAACAAAACTTGTCTTGTATAATAAGAATGATTTAAACCAGGAATATGTTTTTCTAAAGCTATTTTTTTCTCAAATACATCGACTATGTAAGCTCTTGACTGTAAAGTTAGAAATTATTAATTTCCGAGACTAATAACGTTAAATATTAATAATAATAATACATGCTGAAGATAACTCCATATGGATTCTAGAGATGTAATGTCAGCTCTAGCTACTATTGAGTGTTACGCGTGTCTGAACACGTCTTAGGGCTTGATGTTTTATCTTTAACCGCTTTGAAATAAGAGGTTGATAATGCGTAGGTATAGAAAACAATGTGTTCACTCCGCCTATCTACTGCCTTCTGATTACAACATGTATGTTTTCCTGGTAACAGAGAAAAGGCTGAGTTAGTGTGATACTGTCAACCAGTTATCCACCAATTACCATCAGGTGTGAGGGCAGTGAAGCACCGGGTAGTCTCCGTCACAGACTAAAATCTTAACGTCTTTCATCTACATTGGTTTTTAGCATTTGAAGCAATGCTTGGCGCGTCCATTGTTATATCTTTTCCAGCATACAAACAATTTCGAATATCGTTTTATAAGAATAATTCGAACTTAGTTACTTAGTGAACTTAGTTACGTAGCTTAGTGGTTAAAGCGTCTGGCCGCGAACGCCGACGACGTGGGTTCGATTCCCACAGCGGCGACAATCTTTTCGTACTTATTCTACATATTTTAATGTTAAATCTTAAGTGCAAATATTAGCACTGTAAAAAAATTAAATCATTAAAATATTTAAGTATGTAACAAATTTACTTATTTATTTAGATGTCTTAAATAAATATCTAAATTTTAAATAACAAACATGTTAAAGTAAATAATTAATTAAAATTATTTTTTTCAAAGAACAACATTATTTTTTAAATAAACAATTTATTTATCCAACATTCACAACATTAAATCTATCTAAATTACATAATATTATCTAATAAACCTAATCGACGCGGCATGGTGCCAAGAACTGGCTACATTTCCTTGCTGAATCTGCTGCCGCGGAGTTAAGCCGAGGACCGACCCCACGGACCTAAAGTTAGACATGTGACTATGTACTAGGTATGTAGAGTACTTTGGTACCTATGTAGAGTACTTTGGTATAATATACTACAATGGACTTAGTCCATAAAGTAGACTCTCAATTGAATATTTTCATTATTGTGGTTTACAATACTCTAAAGATTGATTTCATAATATTAATTTTTGTATTATATAATAATTAGCACTTTGGTTTTACCTAAGTAGCTATGATCAGTTTAGGTACGTAATCTAATCCTCAGTTAACTCTCAGTCTTAACGAAGATAGATTACAATAATTCACAGTGAGTTTCTGTATGACTGATTTTCGTTTTGGAAACTAAGTTTGAAACTAGATTATTCAGCCGAAATTAGCCGAAGCCGAACCTTAGGTCGATCAATAAATTTTTAATATGTAAATACGCGTATTTAGTTTTATAGTAAGTATTTAGTATACTTGTTTCTATATTAACATTATTTTAACGTTAAGCGAAAGAAATATTATTTTATGTGAACTGTATGCCTGACATTACCTACCGCAAACGTTCGGAAATCAAACTGGCGGACGAAACCATTTGCACGTGTCGTGTAATTGATAGGGCTGCCCGCGCCGTCAACAAAGACCTACAGAGAACGGCCGTCGATGCGCGTGCGACTTTACATGTGCTTCAAACAAAGCATTGTTTCAGGATGAATTGTTTTTTTATACCGACATTTCATTATGGGTTTATTAAATATACAATAGTAATATTAATTTTCACACACCCCTAAAATAAAGATTTATGGAAAGACAACACAACACAGTCAATGATTTTTAAAAGGTTTCTTAGGCTATTATAGTCATATATTTATTTCTAAAAGTTCTAAACACTGCTGTTTACAATAAGACTTCTAGAATAAAAAATATATTACTCTACATTTTTTGTTCATTATTTAATACGACTTATATCCGGGTAATATTCTTTACTGAATTAAAAAGACGTTTGCCACTTTCTCACATGAAAAAACAATCATTAACCGTTATAAAATAAAATTAGCCGCAAAGCATATTAGCCGCTATTCGTAAAAACTATCCAGATGAAAGTGAATATTTTCATATTTATAAATTAGTAAGGGAATACTTGTATATCTAAAACAATTAAGCTCTTAAAACATCTGCCAGAGTTAAATCGACGTTATAAACAATAATTATGTCAATTGAAAGTTCGTTACTTACAAAATTTGGATGTTTATATACATTTTGTTTAGCTTCTATCTTTCTGTTTGTCACCCATATCGTTAATATTTTAATGAGGCAAACTTAACATAGTACATTGCAATCCGCCTTAGCAATTAAACATTTTTCAGATAACATTAATGCGTCGAAACAAAACGTTCCAGTGAAATTATACGACGCTAAGACTCAGTCTCAAGTAAATTATAACGTAAGCGCTGGGAATTATACAGAAAACAATCACAACCTCTTCCAAATGATCAAATGTCACGAAGATAGCCTTCTAAGGCTGCACCATTTAACAGCTGGCCGACCTATAAACGGGAATTACGAAACAAACTATCAAAATGATTTGACGTGGTATTCAAAGGACTTACAACGTCAGTACATAAAGCCCGTAGATTATATCACATACGAGGATGTTAGGCGAAAGTATGACGAAACCAAAGTTGCGAAAGAGAAGGAAATACAAAAAGAGTCTGAGGAGGAGAGAGAGGGAAAAGCCGACGAGAGAAAGAAACCCAGAAGGAACCGCACCACGTTCACAAGCCAACAGCTGGCTGCGTTAGAGAAAGTTTTTGAGAAAACGCATTATCCAGACGCTTTCGTGAGGGAAGACTTAGCAGCTCGTGTGAATCTTACCGAAGCTAGAGTTCAGGTTTTATTATTATTTTTATTTTTTATTTCAAAAGTTAAAAATCTTATAGGCGGTTCACCTGACGTGTTGTTATTTGAAATCCACAGCGATTACTTTTGCGTGTAATATTAATTAAATCTTTATGTTAATTACATTTTAATTGTGTTAGGGCCACGAAACAATCATCGCTATTGCACAAATGGGCAGGTCCGTCCGGGGAATTACCACGATCTCGACGTTAGAACTGTAATGCGACGTTGTGGCAACGAATGAAAAGTCTGAATGTATGAACTAGTCAGTTGTAGTTGTATGTTAATAATTTTGTTTCTTTTTTAATTAGTTTATTTGTTTTTTTTTTTTAATTATGGATAATTTAACGTTTATATTTTTTATGATTATTGGCAAACAGCGTTAGAAGTGTGTTCATTTAAGGTCACGGTTGTAACATCATGCTGTATATGTTCCACTGATGGGCAATGGTCTGGTCCGTGGAGAAGGTATCAGGACTCCACCGCGGATTGACAGACTTTACAAACCTTCGAGAGATTTCTTACTTTAATTATTGTTTTAATAATATTTAGGTTTAGGATATTTACCGGCATTTGAACTAAGATTGCAAGTGTATATTAATACGAACACTCAGACACTGAGCTTTCACGATAGCTTAAACAAGTTTTATAAAACGATACATTTAACATAACTGTAACAAAAAGTACTTAATCATCTTCCTTGATCAATTCTTTCCTCCTATAATGGTATGTTTCCTCCTATAATAGTATGAACAATCGCGGTGACAAACTTTACCCAAACTAGAAACTGTATAAGAATTACACAATTTTTTATCGCAGTTCTACCATGTAGTAGTAAAAAAAATTTTTTTAACTTCTTAAATCAAGTTAAATCAGTTTGTCAATCTGTAATGGGTCTCGTAACGGACTCTACCGAAATGCCTGGAATTCAGCATGTGGGTGGGACATAGTAATATTAGTAGTCACTTTACCATACTTTATATATTTGATATGCCTTTTTTTATCAAACATTTAACACTTGTCCTTCTGTTCTCAGGTTTGGTTCCAAAACAGACGGGCGAAGTTTCGTCGAAATGAGCGGTCAGCTCTTTCGTCGCACCGGAATTCGACCAGCCAAAGTTCGCCAGAGCCCGTACCTGTCCCTATAGGGATTTCGCACCAGACCGACCCCAGACAGGATTATACGCGAAATTCAAAGGAACCGTGGCTGCATCACTTCCAGACGAACAACTTGAACTTCAACCTCGGTATCCCTATTGCCAACTCAGGCCTCTACCAAAACGACTACTCTTTGATGATGCAGAATGTCGGAAATCGACAGTACATACCGAACTCTAATGCCTTAATGTCTCAAAACGTGGCGAGCTATGGTGGAACGGCGGAAAACGGTTATGGTTCTTGTGCTTTGATAGGCGGTTACAGTAATCCACTGCAAGCTTCTCACCACTCTTCATATAATTTAAATTTAAGGCTCCGGCCCCATGATTTCACTATTAATAATATAACATTATGAAAACATACATGTTAATATCTTTGGCTGTAATATAAATTTTCGCTTCACCATATACTTTTTTATTTATGTTAATCCTATACACCAGGGATGATAGCTTGAGTAGATTTTAGGTGTCATTTACATACTTCTTCAAATATTAAATGAATCAGTTATTGTTAACCATATATTTATGTGGTACGTTTTATTTTATTCAGAGGGCAAACAAATTTGAAAATAATTTTTAGTGGATACTTATTTATATAAGTTTATACAATGCTCACAGCATTGTGTCTGAGCATGTCGCTTGATAAGCAAACTCAGTATGTAGTTGGACATTGCCAACTTTAAGGAATATAATGTATGAGCGTCTGTCAAGCTGTGTTTACTTAAACATACAACATCTAAGAATGAGATAAATCTGGTTTTGCATAAATATGTATGTTAAGACAAACCACGAATGCTGTTCAGCACATTTCTTAAAACTTGGATATTTTTCGGCATAAACCAATGCTCAGAACTATAGACTCAAGGTCCGCCTAGAGACCTAATCTTGGTCCTTAGAAATAATTTAGTATAGTAGTAGCGCAGAGTAATAATTTCGTTTTGAAATGTCTTTTGGTCTGTTTGAAAAGTATCTGCAAATTTTTAGGCCATGTAGATGATATTATGGTCAATTAAATTATTAAACAGATAACTGGTAAATATCACCAAAAAAAAAATTTTTTTTAATCACTTAAGTGAATGTCTAATCATGATATGACTGCTCTAATTTCTGAAGTGTAACAACCTTTCTTTCTTTAAGAACTCCTTGATAGAAAATAATAAATTATCATGCTATCATATCATCATATCGTAACAGAAAGGTATAAAAGGTGAGGATATAAAGGATATTCAATTTAGTAACTTTGCTTGATTCACTCCAAGGTAGACGCATACAGAATATAATATAGTGATGATTTGACCGGTGAGCCGAACTTCTCATTAGTTGCTAGCAAATCAGCAGTGGTTCAAGTTTTAAGCTTCTGCTAGATGAGACACTACAAAACACTACCCCACTTTTCGCTTTGGCTAAAACGATTATATAATATCAAGATTTTTTGAAGTTGTACTTCTTTAGGCGCGTTATGTTATATGTTATATAATTATGAGAGTGAAATTTTAAGATGTGCGCGCGTCACTGTAACACAAAAGTCACACCTTTGAAGCTGCCCGCTAAACCGCTTATTATAGATGGCAGCATATTCTCAATCCCATTCGCTCGTTACAATTCTCAATAAAGAATGTAGACAGCGTTTTCATACTTTTATTGAAGTTATACTTCTTTAGGCATGTTATGAAAAAATTATGAGAGTGAAATTTATGGATTCGCGCGCATCACTGTAACACAAAAGTTACACCTTCGAACCTACCCGCTAGACCGCTTATTATAGATAGCAGCATATTCTCAATCACATTCGCCCTTTATAATTCTCAATAAAAAATGTAGATGGCGCTTTCATAATTTTATTATTTTTATACTTTTCCAGTCTTTTTATTATTTTATTGTAATTAAATATTTGCATACCATTAAAAATATTTTTTTAGTTTAATATGTTTTTATAATAAAAAAATGGGGGAGTGTACTTATGTACGCGCGTGAGAAGATCATTCTGATCATTAAAAATATCATTCTGATCAATTGAAAAGCCATTTGACAGCTGATTACTTGACTTCTACGATGATCAGTGTTTCAGAAACCGGGCGTTTATCTTCTACGTCTAGTGATTAAATTTCAACCTTACAACTTTATCTGCATATGAAGGGCGAATCAAGCCGAAACTCCATCTCATCTCTCCTCCATCCTCTCCAACCCCTTGGATCGTATCAGGCATCCCCTTGTTTGTCGAATTGTCCTTGTTTTGGTTAATAGAGATGGCGGAGATGTAGCGGAGCGAAGGACATTATGGTGTCGTCATCATGTACCAACTACATTATTTTTTCCCCTCGGTCTGTGGGTCATTTGCACCTCTCCAGCAACTTCGAAGATTCTGTTGGCCAGCGGCCATTTTCACAAAAAAAGGTTTATTCTTCAAATTCAAAGTAACATAATAATAATTTGGTCACACTGATGACGTTTGTCACTGTCAAGTTAATGTCAATGTCTTATAAGTCATTGTCTTTATCAAACGTTTCAGCAGTTTCATCTCCAATAAATAACGACCGTTTTATTATTTTGTTTTCACCTAATAGTGTTTAATTTAATTAATACACACACGATATAGACTTTGTAATACTTACACCGAATCACCGAAATAAAAAAAAGCTGCTTGGTTTAGATAACCATGACGCCTAAAAGTTTTAGTGGAACTCTAATTGCAATTATTTCTCTAACTTTTGTTTCGAAATTAGTGTATAATTATTTCAATAAACGCAAGAAGCAAAGAAAATGCAGTCAAAGAGAAGTTAACGAAGTTATCATGTTCTCTTATGGAGCGTGTGAACTGAAAAAAAGCAAATATTCTCGTTGTGTTATAACCCCTAGTATGGACCGGTTACTATATTATTTGAGCGCACCGCGACACAATTTGGACATTTGCATGTACGTGATGACTAATTCTGATATAAATAATATACTCATGAAGTTGCATTTCAAAGGAGTAGGAATACGCGTAATAATCGATGCAGACATGGCATATGCCAGTGGATCATGTGCTAGAAAGCTGGAAAAGCAAGGGATACCAGTTCGATGGATGAAATCAACCAATTTGATGCATCATAAATTTTGTCTTGTTGACACATTAGCTATAAATAAGGCAGCAACTCCATTTGTTATGATGGGATCACTAAATTGGACTAATCAGGCTTTAAATGGCAATTGGGAAGATGTGACTGTGACCTCGCAGAGGGAAATAGTGCAGCAGTATCATGCTGAATTTGAAAGACTGTGGGTTTTATTTAAACCAATAGTAGATTTCACATAAGTTATTTTAACATAAATTTGCTGCCTTTATCTATCTGTGATTAAAGGTAGAATAGTCTTTGATATTTTTGTGGATAAAATAATATAATTTTTGAGAACCTATATGCTTAAAGCGTCGTCGTTTCCAACGTCCTTTCCATCTTTTTTTTTTTAAGTGTTACTACAGGATAACATTGTGATGATGGGTGATGTAATAATTTTTTACAATCATAAATTTTCTTATTTACAAACACCCAGATCCTAAACAATTATGTATGGGTCATACAAATAATTATCCCTTGGGGGGGAATCAAACCCACGACCCTATGCACCTTTGACAACATGCTGCATAGTCAGTCAATCAGTCTCTCAATACACAGCCTTGTATAGAAGGATATTGATATGTTAGATTTAAAGATAATATTTTGTTGTATGAAAATTGTTGAGTTATATCCTAGTGGTCCATAGTCAGTTATTTTCTCTACCCCTACAAGTATTTTTTTTTTTTTACTAAAGCATATTTTTTATGGTTCTGAAACTTGGACTCTACATATTAATATATAAGGTCTAATAATACATATTAATGGAAGTGACTTATATAAAGCTAAAAGTAAATAAAAAAAATTTATGCCTTTAGGACTTTTTTTGTGATTGTTTGTTATATGTAAAGAATTGAAACTAGACTTGAAAGTTGGAATTGTTATGCATATAAAACAAAATCAATTTTATTAATGGAGAAATCAAGAAATATCATGAAGAATAATTTTTAAAGTTTTTGAGAAAAATATTAGAAATTGAGATTTAACTATAAAACATAATTTTAAAAAAGAATCTGTGATTTGAATTATGTGATACAAGTCAAATTATGAAAGGTATGTAATGTAAAAAAAAGAAGTAAAATATCAGCCTATACATCTCCCCCTGCTGGGCAAAGGTCTCCTTTGTAAAGCATCAGTACATAGTCCATCACGGATTGCGGATTGGCGGACTTCATATATCTTCGAAACATATTTTTTTATTATTTCGAAAAATATGCAGGTTTCCTCACGATGTCCTTTATTGCTGAGCACGTGATAATTCAGCACTTAAAATTAACAATTTCATTGGGGCCGGCGACAAAGGGATCGAACTCAGGTTGACAATGGCAAATTATATTGAATTAAAGGCGAGCGCCCGGATACTGAGCTATATAAGTCTCAGTCACGTGGGGTTACTTTAATTCGGCGTCGTGAAGGCTTTCGACAAAGTAAGCATAACTGTTAAAAATAAGCTATAATACCTAGGAGACCCAGATGAACTGGTGAAAATAATACGAGAGTACTTATCGAACCAAACGTCAATTTCAATTTTGAGTCGACGAAACCCTGTCCCATTATCGCCTCCTTAGAACGAGCACGGAGTAGGGAATAGGGATCTGTTTTATCTCCAATCTTGTACTCCCTATACACTAGCGACATCTAGCAAACAACAACGCGACCAAACCCGGATTATCATCCGTTTACAATGTACTAAAATACGCTAGGTTAATTTTTCAGATTGTGGCGAATCGTAGTCACGGAGAAGAGTAAGATGATCAATTATATGCGTTACTTCTAATTACCACTGCTTAGCTTCAAATGATTCCAAACAAATTTCTTCGTCGTGCAACCAGATCACCATGATATATGCGGAACACCAAATTGAGCCTTTAAATTACTACCCTGACCACTCATTTACATCAGCGTCGATAAAATATTTCAATATAATAAATACCCATACAATTCCTCTGATTAAAGCTGTCTGTATCTATTCCGTACCCTCTAGGACCATGTAGTTGATTCAGCGCCGACCTATAATTTTTAAACAATCTCTATGAGGACTTAACACGCTCGTTGAATTTAAATTCTGCGCCGCCTCCTAACAACGCATCGCTGAAAGGATGCATCAATGACTGGCAAAGCGCTACCATACTTAGCGTCGCACACACCGCATACACTAACCTGTACGTACTAGTGTCTCTTTATTTTTTTACCAATGCTAGGTCCTCGATTCGCAGGTTACAATACATACAAGTATAGCGTCGCTTTCGGCTTGATACTGCGAATGGAGATCTTGCAATCGACGAGTGCGCCAAGCTGTTCGTGTGTTTGTTAATGTATGTATAGAAGGCCACAGCATAAGCCATCGGTGGATGTAAACCCGTTCGGCCCTCCGTCACCTCGTAATATCGGCGACACATTGTCAGACGGCGGTGGGAGAATTCAATTATTTACTTTTATGGACTTTTCGAGTGGGTGCCGAATAGATATCATAAGATTTTTGGTTAACCATTTGAATAGTCATTAACTAACGCAAAATTGTTTTTTAGATTCTTATTTCTTTGCAACTCGATTTTAGTTAAAAATTAGTTTACCTCGATCATATTTCACATCACAATAATTAATAACTTTTAGAAAATGGACATATTGCCACCACCACGATATTCCATGGGATGGTTGTTAGGCAAACAAAATTTTCGGTTTTCGAAGCTAAAATCGGACTGAAAAACAAGTTTCTTTAACTTTGAGTTTTTGGATCTTAGATATTAAAAACATCTATGATTGATTACTTTTTTTTATTGATTACTTTTGACATTGACAGTATTAACATAATGTCATAAAGTACAAAGTACAAACTTAAAATCCCACCACTAATCACATACAACATCGCAGGCATGGTAATTGCTTAGGATACTTTTCTAGCTAAGAGGTATTTTTAAAATAATACTCCAAGTATTCCCAAAATCATGGATTTCATCGTTGATACGATAGGCGACGATGATCTTCAAGTAAAATCAGAATTATTAGACGAAAACGATCGACTCCTTATAGGTTAGTTGTTTGTCATAGTAATTTTTAATTTGTTAATAGTTTTTTATTATTTGTTCTTATTTATGTCACAATGAAATATACAATTTAACAGATGATGAAAACAAGACTGAGGCTATATTGGCTTTATTTGAAAAGAAAAAGGAAGAGCTCGATAAGGTGGCAATGGAAAGGGAAGAAGTGCATAGCAAATTAAAAGGTCTAAAAATTGACAGTGTCTTCGAAGATTTTTTCAGTGAAATGGGATGGAACAACTCTATAATAGTAAAAAAAGTAAAGAAGAAAAAAAAACTTTTTCATTTTGAGCAATTAGATATTGAGACAGGGAATCTTAAATCTAAGTTGGGATCAGTAAATGTCGATAAAGAAATGGAAAAGTCGGTTTTGCAACCAGGACTAGAAAAGAAAAATCGCTTGCCAAGATATGATATAAGTGATAAACGGCTGAAGGCACTAAGAAGAGTAAGTTTTAGCATGTACAATGTTTAGTGAAAATAGTCAAATTATAAAGATCTTGGGTTACACAGCAGTTTCGCTTTTGCACAAATGAGCAGATCTGTCCAGAGAGGTACCACAGCCTTGAAGGAAGACTGCCGTTTATTGAACAGTGGCAATGCATTTGGAACCCTTCTCTGGGTGTTGCAAATGTCCATGGGTTACGGTTGTCACTTAAAATAAGTTTAGTTCGATAGCTCGCTTGCCATCGATATACATTAAGAAATTGATTTAAATTAAAAATGTAATACATATGTGTTTCATTATTTATTAATTTGTAGAAACAACGAGAGAAGACTAAAGGTCCTGGATGGTTCGACATGAAGGCCCCTGCAATGACTGAAGAGTTAACAAATGACTTGCAAGTTCTTAAAATGAGATCCGTCATGGATCCAAAGCATTTTTATAAGAAAAATGATATGGAAGTTCTACCAAAATACTTTCAGGTAATGACTTTGTTATGTTATAGAACAAATTATATTATTTTATAGAATAAATCTTTCTTGTAATCATGAAAGTTGTACATCAAAAACTTATATTAGTTTATTGTATTTTCAAGAAGTAAAAGTTATCCCCTATTTTATTTTACTTTTAATGTTTTGTCAATTAAAATATTATTTTTATTTTTGAGTTTTAATAGAAATATTCATATATTATTAACAGTATAATAATGGTCTTATAACAGTGTACTTACATATTTTAAATATAAATATTTTCAGGTTGGTCGTATTGAAGACTCTGCTCTTGACCATGTTAATGAGCGTTTAACAAGGAAGGAAAGGAAGAGGACAATGGTGGATGAATTGTTAGCAGATGTCGAATTCCAAAAATATAATAAGAAAAAATATAAAGAGATAATTGAAGATAAGAGAAAAACTGAATATAGAACATTCATGAGGGACAAACGGCAGAAGAATAAAACTGAGTTAAAAAAAACTAAATTAAAAAGCAAAAAAAATGCACAGAATTGAAGATAATATGATTTTATAAATAATGGTTTGTTTCATTGTAATCCTTAATCATGAGGTTTTTATTACCTGAAATAATCTAAAAACATTTATTTATGAATAGGTCTATATGATTAACCTCTACATTAATTTACTTAATATCATTTTGTGGTTTTCGATCCCACACTGGTTTTTTTAATGCCTTATGTGCATAAATCACCATCTTGTCTTGTCACTTGTTATAATTGTGAATAATCACTACAAGATATTACTTGATAATGAAGATCTACAGAAATAAAATAATCATTATAAAAGGATGTGTATATTCATTAATATCAATCTTTAATACAAATGTATACCTATACATGTACTTCCTTGATAATAGAATATCACAGGTATTTTGTAATTCAATGTATACTTAAAATTAAGTTTTAAACTGCTTTAATACCCCATCATACCAACTAGAATATAAAAAATACCCGTTTTCACAAGTTTAGATCAGTCAGACTGAACTAGTATCCACCAGACACATCCACTGTTGCACCAGTAATGTATGAACTCTTATCAGAGCTAAGGAAAGTGATCACTTCTGCAATTTCTGTAAAGGAGAGGAGCTTTTAAATTTTTAATGAAAAATAGACAATCACACATACATTTTTCTTTAGTTTTACAGTATTCAACTTTGGTTTGTTATTATAATCTCTTATTATTATAATATTTAAACACTTATTTGTTATTAAAATATTGTTTAATTTGTGTATATAATTTAAACAGTTTAATTCTGTTAAAAAAGGAAAAAAATATTAAACATGATTACCTGTGGGATCACCCATTCTTCCTAATGGTATCATTTTCAGTAAACCCTCTTTTACTTTATCAGGAACTGTTTTCACCATTGGTGTGTCAATGAAACCAGGCAAAATTGCATTTATTCTGGGAAGATAAGTAAAACTATTATAAAATCTATAGCATTAGTTGAATATTGTATTGATATAATTTATTCTTGAAATGGTTTTTGATTTGAATAGGAATTAAACAGTATTTTATTGTGGTATAGGGTATTTGATTGTGGTCCTTCTGAAATGTAGAAGTAATTAGTACATAGTTTTTATGGTAACTATATAAGAAACTTGAAATATTATCTTCATTTCAAGATTTGTTGATAAGAGTTGACTCCACTAGCTAAATTCAATGTGAAACCTTTTGAATCCAGTTTTATTACAGACCTTATGTTAAATTTTCCTAGTTCTTTAGCTGCTGATTTTGTCATTCCTATAACACCAGCTTTGCTTGCAGCATAACTAGTTTGGCCTATAAAAGAATATTGAAATGACTTCAATGTTAATAAAATCAAACAGACTATTAAAGAGCTTATGAAAAGAACCTACCCATATTCCCATACTTGGCAACAATGCTTGATATATTTACAATAGACCCAGGGAGAGAAGCAGCTGTTAGCACTTTGGCAAATGTTTGCATTACCAGAAATGTACCCTGCAAACAGAAACAAAAAATAAGAAATCCTTATGCCATGTTGCATTTCTCATCTATTTTCAGTATAAATATTTATTGTTAATATAGATGTCAATATTTGCATTTCCTTCTTGATGTTATCCTTTTTTATGCCAATTAAAGCAAAATGGTGTTTTCCCGTATGCATTTTTCCTTGCAGAAAGTTTTATAGTCAAAAATTACCTTTAAATTAACATCTTGTACACTATCAAAATCATCCTCAGAGAGTTTCAACAACCAATTGTCTCTTGTAATGCCTGCAGAGTTTATAATGATTGTTGGTGGTTTTTTGAATTGTTTTTGCAATTTGGTTAGAAGGTCTGCTACTGAATTTGAGCTTGATACATCTAACTCTGCAGCAGAATGGTCACCAACAGCTGCAAATTTTAAAACCTTGATTAAAAGTTTTAGTAAATACCTCTATCAATCAATATAAAGGACTTCATAATTACAAGCTACAATATATTTAAAAAATTCTTGCAATAATTTACGACTATATATAATGTAGAATTAAAATTTACAGGAAAAATATTAATGAATAATTTCAAAATTTAAATTAATCAAATATTATTTAATTAAAGTCAGGTCAGTCTTTTTATCAAGACTTTTTTTGAAGAATTTAAATGCATTACCATTAGATCCTGATGCTAAAGCAGTGTATGTTTTAATTGTTTCCATGGCAGCTTCGTAATTTTTATCTGCCGCTATTACTGTGGCACCTTCACGGGAAAGGACTTGACATGCTGCTCGGCCAATGCCAGATCCAGCACCTACAAAAATATAAGATAGACAAAAGCAAATGAAACAAGGGACAACAACAGATCAAAGACCATAAAAACAGTATTTGATGAACTAATTTTACTACAGAATACGAAAATAGGAAACATATTTTTCTGTTTAAATAATATTTAGTATATCGACATGATTAATTAATTCAAAGTGCTAAAATAAAAAGTTTGAACTTTTTTGTTAGTTTCGTGGTACGCAATTAATTCATATTTATTAACCTATCTGTATATTGAATGAAGAAAATGTAGTAAAGTGAAAGCAGTTTTGAATTTTCGGTTTGCTGTTTTTTTACCTGTAACAAAGGCCAATTTTCCTGAAACAATTCCAGTCACCATTTTTGTATAAAATATTGTTTTCTATGATATGTATAGTTGTCAATTATTATCTCAATACAATCTCAATACCTAAATAACACTATAGAAACTTTTGCCTTAATAATGTCACCGATACAGTAAGTAAACTTTCAACTTTGGTCGAGGTCGAGGTGATAACACTAGATTTACTATTTTCTATACAGCTGTATGCAGTAATTGCAGTATATATGTCATATTGCAGTATATAATATATATGTCTAATCTATGACTGTATGGTTAATCCCTTAGAGGTTAGAGACGAGTAAACACAATGTTACTCTAAATATTTTGATTGCTGATAACATATGTCAAATAATTTTTCCAAGTAAATGACAATAATTGTTTTTCGGTCTGAATGCTCAAAATTTTTTGTTTCATAATAATAAATCAAACTTTTTTTTATTATTTATTAACAATTTCTTCAATTGATAGAATTACAGTCCAGCATAATGTAAGTTACGATAAGACCAGGAATTAGTTCCTATGCAAAAACTAGATGGCGTTGTTCTTCATATACATATTTTCACAAGTTAAATAAGGGACAAACACTGACCATTTGCATTTTAATAATAATAATGCGAATTTCTTCGATTGAGATGTATACGATAGGTACGATTTTAGTTTTGCTCGGTATACGGATATTCTTGATTTTGGTTTACGATTTGGTTAGTTGTTAGGAACAGTAGTGGATTTCTCTACAGGCCGCGTACTCGACGAGTGGGGCTTTTTAGTAGCATTGCTTGCCTGTCGCTTCTTTGCGTAGGCGATATTTCATGAAAATTATAACAAATCAAGCGGGCCTGATAAGTAGGTACCATTCGTCGGCTCCATAATATCATGTACTTTCTTTACCTTTCTATGTTTAATTTTTTTGTGCCTTCCAGCGAGTCTTTTCTCTTAATCTTTAATGAGCATAAGGCGACCAACGGACAATTCTATCACTGTTTAGAAATATAGATTTGGTTAGGCTAGGATATTCAGATATTCCCCTCCGACCGGGTTCCTGCCTTGACGTGGCGGAGGGGCTTAGTAGCCGTGGCTTGGTCCCCCACGGCGAAGCTAAGAGGAACCCACACTGGGCTGGCCTGTGGTGCAAGGCCGGCCCGAGAGGGCCGCTCCGAGTGGGCTCATTGAGCCCACTCTGGATGCGTGCTGGAGGGTGCAGGAGACAGGTCGAGGGTGGTAGAGGTGAAGCCACTCTCCCTGTCTTCTGCTACCGAGGAGGAGTCGCGGGGGAAGAGGAGTGTCGGTATTGCGTTGGCCGTGTTCCCTATCCTCCGCGACTCGGCGGGGCTGTTCCGCCGATGCAGCTGTGGTGGGGCCGCGGGGGGAGAGGAGTGTCGGTATTGCGGTGCGCCGTTCTCCCTATCTTCCGCGCCCGAAACGTGGTGAGCAGCGGAGCCACAGACCAGGTCCGCCGCTGAGGGCTGGGAGGCTTGCTGCTTATTAGCACTGGCTCTCCTGGCTCCCATGGCCCCGGTCAGCGAACTCGGGGGAGTTCGTTGGCCGTGAAAATGGGGCCGAGTAGGAAGACGCGCTGAATGTTCTAGCGCGCCTTACCTGGAGGAGAGAGGAGTTGCTCCCCGTGAGGGGGCTGCTAAGGCGGCCAGCGCTGGCAGGGTCGCGGAAGTGTGCGAAAGCGTTCCCGTGACCCTGCCGATATGCGCCTAGGCGTAACATCGTGGGGGTTTTAGTCAGTGCGAGTCCGACATAATCCACTCTTGCCCCCACGAGGGCGGGTATGCGTAGGCATTTCCCTCACGTCAAAAAAAAAAAGGATATTCAGATATTATTTTGCTTTGTGGTTTGGAATTTGTTTGTTTTTTGTCACTGACTCACAAATTGTATCTGATATTTTTTTTGTAATTAAGATACTTATTTTGTAGTATTTTCAAAATAATTGAATTTACCTTTTAATATTTATTATAAGAATGCCTGGGTAGAATTAAAAAGAATGAGAACGATTTGATCTCAACAATCTAATGAAAACTAAACACGACTTAGTACTGATACCCATTTCGCCATAGACGGCATTCATTATCTCGCACATTGGAGTCAGTTATAGGTTAAAGACATTAAAGTAAAGTAAAAAAGTAAACTGAGAGTGAATTTTGACTGAGCACCCGTAGAGGCCGTTGACAGAACACTACAGTACATACAGTACATACACCGGGATGAAAGGCCAATGGGGAACGTTGTTTTCTCTAGAGATTTTCGAAACCCTTCCTCTCATTACTCAGGTGGCTTAAGCTAAGAAATAAATGCCTCACAGAAGCGTTCTTATCTCTAGTCTCAAAAGCATAAGTTGCGGTTGACAGTTAACGTGCGGAGTCTGTTTACATGCCCAAGAATTTTCAGATGTTCTGTTAAAATTTGAGAAGGCAGAATGAATATCGTTTCAGAGAAAAATGGACAGGTGTGTCTTCCGAACATACTTGGTACAGTCGTTTTCTCCGAAAACAAACTGATAAGTTCGGTTTTTGGAGAACTGTTTGGAGAACTTTCAAGTTGAACACTTGAAAGTTCTCCAAATACTGAACTTAAAGCCTAAACATAACCAAGAATTTTTCTGATGATATCAGGATAAAGCCGTGATAGCTCAGTGTCCGGGCGCTCGCCTTTAATTCCATATACTCGAGCAACCTGCGTTCGATCCCCGGTGCTAGCTCCAATGAAGTTTTTAACTTTAAGTGCTGACTAATCATGTACTCGGCGGTGAAAGAAAACATCGTGAGGAAATTTTCGAAATAATAACAAAAAAAAATATTTCGAAGATATGTGAAGTCCGGAAATCCGCAGTGGGGCCGAGTGGTGGACTATACCCTAATACCCTCTGTATAGAGGAGGCCTTTGCCCAGCAGTGGGACATGTATGTATAGGCTTTTACTTTACTTTTTTATCAGGATAATTCTTGGTTATATTGACATATTATGATCACTGCAAGCAATGTCCAAGCCACAAATTAGCCGGTTGAGATTTTAAGTTCGCTTACTGCAAGTGGCCTTTCTGCATATAAAATCCCGCGCAATGTCGGTGTAAAATTATGCAATGGCGGATTCCATTTTCACATTCATATCAACTTAACTTCATATAAACGTAACTTCTCTACAAAGGCACATAATTCAAGCTGACATCGTCACTGGGTGTGGCTCAGATAAAATTTAGTTTATTTCGCGAATATAAAAGCTCTCGCTTGGTCACTGACCATGGCGTAGTTGTCAAGACATTGCCTTCAGCGTGCGTTCGATTTTCACACGGGACAATTATTTGTGTGACCCATAGTAATTGTTTCCCAGGCCAAACTATGAATGAGGTATTTAAAGTGATATTTTATTGTAAACTAGCTTTTCGCCCGCGGTTCGGCTCGTATATACCACATTTTATATCCTGTAGCCTTCCTCAATAAATTGGCTATCTAACAGTGCAAGAATTTTTCTAATCGGACCAGTAGTTGCCGAGATTAGCGTGTTCAAACAAGAAGACAGATACCAGCTAGACTGCTAGCATCTGTTTGATACATGTATCTCATAAACTGCGATATTTAGACAATTGAAATTTTCACAGATGCTGTATTTCTGTTGACGCTATTTGTTATAGCGTCAAGTAAAGGAAATCAGAATATATTTTTTTATGTGGGGCTCTCATACAACAGACATAATTTTAATGCCTTTTTTATAGATTATGGTATGATATATATTTATATAGATTATGGAACCCTTCGTGCACGATTGCGACTCGCACTTGACTGGTTTTTAAATTTATATTATCTAACAATCATCATTATTTTACAGACCATAATATAATTATAGTTAACTATAGTTTCATCCAATTCAGCTGTAGCGATTACTTTTTTTTAAGTTGGTTAAGTGAAATACTACAATCATTGAAAGTTGGACCCAAACCGTTTTACCCGTTTTTGAGATTAATGCGCACAAACGCACATACACACAGCAACAATTTTAACAACCATTGTTTTGGGTTCTATTGCGTTGATAAAGGGGGATCTTTAATAATAGTTTTTCTCAAATGTCTTCCATGTACAGACAAAGACAAGTTACATTTTTATTATATGTATAGATATCTGTCCCTTCCCCTATTCCATGCGGACGTAGTCGCGGGCAACAGCTAATACAAAATAAATTAGATATGTCTAAATGTGTGTAAATTTTTTGTCGCGGTAGTAAATTCACGTTTTATAATGAAAATCGCTAAATCACCAGAAAAAAATTAATAAAATATTTAAATTTAATACAATTTAAATCTGACATTATTTTGCGTACAATATTCATTATAAGCTAATATTTTAAGTTTAAAACTTACCTTTCATTTTGTTAGAAAACATACGCAGATATATCACAAATATAGCCTATAATGTATAAATAGCAGATTTCTACTTCATGAAAACGTATTATTAAATTTCAGTAATTTAGTGCGCTCTCGCTAGAACTCTGGCCCATGAGTATTACTTCACCACCTCGATCTTCGTTCCGCTACGGACCTAGCCGGCTCGCCGATTTCTGAGGCGTGCTTCTGTGTCCACATTTTTATATTAACTCTAGGGGTAGGGACCACCAGAACACATGGAGTTGGGTCCCCTGTATCGGGTCTGTGACTCATTTTGAAGCTAACCAGTTTGGGTTAAATTTATTTTGAACCTAATTTTTTCTTAGTTGACAATAATTTAAATAAAAAAAAGTTGATGAGATATAAATTATGATATGAGTATTATGTAGGTAGCACCCGGAGGACCAGCTGTTTTTTTTTTGGTAAATCGTGTATTTTGGAAGTTACATTTAGATACAAATTACTGAGTAATGAAATATGTATAATATTTTTCGATCTTACCGACATAATAATAAGAAAATATGAACTGATGTTTTTCACAAAAGAAAGAACTTTAAAAAAAAAGGGAAAAAAATAATAAAATAACAAATCGACAAAAAAATTAAAAATAAAGAAACAATGATCTGGATTCGAAAATA